CACCGCAGCCGCTTCCCGCCTCCCCTGGGGCCTCCCGGAGCCTCGCTGGAGCCGGTGAGGGGACCCCCGGCGCGGGGGTGTGCCGGGTGGGGGGAGCGCGGAGCTCTGCTGCCCGCTCTCGCCTCCCCTCGGGCCTTTGGGACTCGCCTCAGGGCTGGGCAGGGTGCGGGGCAGGCTGGGCCCCTGCGCTCCTGACGGGGCCCGGCCTTTCCCTCTCACCGGTGTTGCCCCCATCACTGCCTCTGCGGTGGAGCAGCCAAGTCCGTGCCTGTGGGCCCTCGGGATGTGTGCATGTTGTCTCTTAGCTTAGCATTCACAAACTGCTAGGTCGTGTTCATAGAGCTGCCCTGTTTGCCCTAGAGGCTGGTTCTCTCCTTATGCTCTATCCTGGCACCTGAGGGAATCAGAGGAGACCAAGTCACCAGTAAAGGCAGCCAGCTGTGCTTGCAAAGGGTGACGTCCATGTATGCTGAGGGGATGGTGACACGTGAGCCTACAGCCATGGCCCCGTATAAAGGCTTTTGTCAGGAGCTTTTGAGAGGACTGAGGCATGTGTGAGAATACTTACTTTTTGTCACATAAATGATTACAGTCTGTTTTCTCAAAGCTGCTGCAAAGATGCGTGTTTGGGCAGTGACTGTGTGTGAATCTTAGCAGATGGGTGTTTGGGGGAGAACATTATGCTTTCCTGAACAGGACTCATGAAGCAAGAGAAACCTGTCTTTAAAAAAAATTACTGATACAAAGCTATACTGCTGACAGCAAAGTAGGATGCAGGTATATCTAGCAAGAAATTTTAGGCAGGGTTATTCTCAGGTTTGATCATAATAGAACAGATGTCCTAATACAGAACAGCCAACCTGCTCATGGGGTTTAGCATTTGCGGACACAACTCTTAGATTAATTTCAAATTTTGTTTTATCTGTTCAGACTTTGGAAATCCTTTACTTTGTTTCTGACACATGATTAAACTTTTAGTTTTAAGACCTGCAAAACAGCTGGTGTCTCATATAAGTGGGCCCTGCCTTTGCCAGCCATGGAGAGTTGGCATATCGTAGCAAGAGTCCAAACAAAATGGAGGAAAAAAAAAAGGATTAAGATTCAGTGGCAGCTTTAGTTATTAAGATTGGGGAAAAAAATCTGCAGCTAGAGACTTTACCACATGTGATTTCTTTAAGGCAGATTGCTACAGCAGGCAGATTTTCTGTGGTTGCTCTGGTTTTTCTCTCCTGGGGTCCCAATCCTCTGTGATGAGAGCAAACATCGACTTTGCTTTGTGCTCACAGAAAGGCTCAGTCTTTCTTGGTAGAGATGGATGAAGATGGAGTCTTAATACTAGTTACTGAAAACAGATGGAAAGGAGACTAGTGTGGGGTGGGTTTTTTTTGTTTTGTAAGCTTAGAAACTATAAAAATATGTATTTTCTTCATCTGAAGCTTGTCCAGGGATTTACAGCATCCCTGTCTCAGAAGAACAAAACTGCTTTGAGTGGAAGGAAATCTGCAACAGATGTCCTGAAGCAGGAGCCCGTGGCACCTTTGCGGGTAGGTAGGATATATTGCTCATGGGAAAGTGCGTTGACTTGTCCAATACCAAGCTTCTAGCACTTTAAGTATCCGGATGTTCTTCAGTCCTCACTGTTTGACTGTTTATTTTATATCAGAAATTAGTTCAGTGCTGATGAGGGTGTGCTCGCTGTTTTTATCCATGCAGGTAATATAGTGCACAGCCTCCTTTAATTGGTCATTGCGGGATGAAGAATAAACTGTGAGACTCCTTCCCTCGCTCCTCAGAGACCACGAGATCAGATAAGCTTTACAGCGTTTCCCGGAGCTTAGTAGATTGGGCTGTCTGGAAAAAGGGGAGATCGTTTTCAGAGCAGGGGGCTTCTCACAGGGAGTACTAGCCTCCATGGCAGGCACAACACTCTGCAGAAGCCACAGGGCACATGTAGGCAAAAACCCCTCCATTTCCAGGCGGAAAGAGGCAGGGTACCTGCTTTCCAAATCATGTAGTCCTGTCCTAATTGTATGCCTCTATTGTACTCTCTGTGTCTTTTGTCTCCTCTGTACAGAGGAGGCACAAAATCATGTTAGAGAAGTGCCTGCTAGCCTGCCTCAGTGCTAAGGCGAGCATGTATTTCTGGTTTTGGAAGCTGTCTTATAGTGGCTGGAAAAAATACAGAAATATAGTAGAGGACTGGGATGTTGTGACCTATTCCACTGAGAATCTTTTAGTTTTCCTTGTGTCTGATGAAAGGAGAGAAAGCTTGCAAACTTATGCAGGAGGGAAGGAAAGTCCTTGATACCATGTGCGTTACATTGGCTTTTTTCCTTGCTTTGGTTTGTCCTGGATTACATGGCAGAAGTGAGGATTTTTCTTGTATAGGAGCAGTTGGAGTGAAGGACATGAGCTTGCAAATTTGAGAAGGGAAATTTTCAAAACTTGACCGTGCGAGGCCCTGAGCAGTCTTGTCTATGAGGTTAGCTGTTCTTCAAGCAGGCAGTGGGACCAGATGACCTCCAGAGGTCCCTTCCAACATGGTTTCCTGTGGTTTCTGGCTCTTTCAGTCAGAAAAGACAGGAAAGCATTTCTGTGAGGAGGCAGGAATGTCCAGGCAGATGTGTCTATCAGTGCATAAGAGCAGGGAATATGAAATAAAACAAATAAAGATGTAGATTAAAGACTTCACCTTGACCCAATGGTAAGAGATTTGAATCTGCAGTCTGGAGAGGTCAGTTGGCAGTCAGACAGTATCACTGAAGTACTGGGTTGTCTTGCACAAAAAAAAAGCTATTATCTTGTACAGATACCTGATTCGGAGAGTCTTTGTAGATTCTTTTAACTAGATGTTGCCAAAAATAATTGAAAACCAGATTTTTTTTCATAGCTGAAAGATCTGGCTGAAGAATGTGGAGGTCAGTATCTCTGCAGAAGTAAGCTTTTCTTTTAGTCCAGTCTTTACCTAAGTAATTGTGTGACTACGTTGTTTTCTGGAAGCAGTGTGTCTCCAGTGAATCTGAAATAAATAGCAGTTTAAATGGAGGTTCCTGTAAAGGGCATTCTGCCTCTGTGGTTCTGCTGTCTCTGTTATAAATTGATCCAAATATATTGGTGCCCATACAATAGAGGAGATCTGGAATTTCCTGGCTGGAGCTCTGAGTTAGTGCTTCAGCATAAGCTTCATCTGGTAGAACTAACTTTAAAAACCACTAAAATGTAACCATCCCTATGGTAGAATGTAGCGGTTATTTGAAAGTGACTTTTATGTAATTGAAAAAGGCATAAAGGAAAGAAGTAAAAGTCAGGAGGTGGAATTCGGTAACTCTGAAATGTTTTCAAAGCTGACAAGCGTTCTGGAATAATTTGTGAATCGCTTTGTTCTTTGAAATGAAATGTACTATCCATTGCTGGAGATGAGGACAGACAGTTGCTATCAGAGGGATTATCTGACTGTGAACCTGATACTTCATCTCTCTGTTTAACTTACTGTGATAGGAAAATGCTGCTGGTATCGGCAGTTAGACTTGCTTTAGAGATTTGTTTCATTGCTTGGTGAGAACTGTAAGAAAACTAGGGTTTTTGCTGTTTATACAATAGTTTTGTATGGTTTTGAATGTTTTAATGTTTCTCCCAGACCAGTCCAACAATGCGTACTGCGAATAGCTCAGACACTGCCTGGCTACTAAGAGTTAAGTGTCCAAGACCTGTGAGAGAACGTGATCAGCAAAGGCCTTGGCAGGTGAGTGGCTCTCAACATTCTTTCAGCTGTAGATTCTACTGTGAAGAACCAAAGTTCAGGACACATGAAACCAGTATCTGTAACCGGGATCCCACGATATTTGGGTGTAATTGGGCTCCTGTCTTGGAACTGGCCACCTAATACCCACTGAAGTTCTGGACAGTGATCTGGTCTGTCTGTCTGCTCTCCAGGACTGCTGTCCCAGGCATGTGCCTGAATTCCTTAGCGAGTCCTCCTTCTCAGGAACGTCTCTCTGCTTTTATCCTTCCCTCCTAGGCATGCTCAGAAATGTGCATCACAGGAAGATGTGTGTGCTCTGTCCTTGTTGTCAGCTTGTTGTAGGTTGAGGCCGTCTAGCATCCAAGTACTGCGTGAACCTTCCAGAGGAATCCCAAAAGTTAATGCTGGTCAGCAGCGTTAGTACATTCCGAAATGATACCGCCACCTGTCTTGCATATGCATGAGTAGGCTGCTGACTCAGTAAGCAGCAGTCTGATATTACAGGAGGTGCTTAAACTGTGAGTTGGTAGAATTGAACATATTTATATATATCTATATATATGTATCTTTCTTCAAAGAAGCATGCCCAAACCATGAAAATCATGGCTCTAAACTGGGATATCCCAGTCTCCACTGTTTCTGTTTCATCTATGCGAAATGTTCTCCATCTCCTATCCTGAAGTATTCCTGAGAACTGCTACAAGGATGCTGTTTTTACTTCCTGCACAGAAATAATGAGGTTTGCGAGGCAGCATGGTGTGAAGATGTTAGGTGAACTTCTTACCATTCTGTCCCAGTTTGTAGCTTGATTGTGGAACCTAGATGAGAACCTGATCTTTGTAAAGCACGTTAGCTTTTTGTGCAGACCTTTTCCTTTTTTTACATTTATCCAGAGGTTCTCCTCAGCACCAGCAAAGAATGGCAGAGGAAATACTTTTGACTGCAGTAGATGTTTTGGGAAAAAAAATAATTCCAAAGATTGGCTAACACAGAAAGACTTCTTTTGTCTGAAGATATGGGTGGAGGAATGAAATGAAATGGAAGGTATGAAGGGAGGAATGAAAAATGGTTATTTGCAAAGTTCTGTAAAATCTGAGATATGTTTGTCATTGGGAAGGGGAACAAAGAACTCTGGAAATAGTAATCCAGTGGGTGTTACTGAGCCCTTTCATCCTCTTGAAGTAGCTTTATTGAGTTCTGTGCAATTTGGTGTGTGGAAAAGTTTCCCGTAAAATGTTAAACAAGCTTCTGACTAGTTAGAATCATAGACTCATAGAACAGCCCAGGCTGGAAGGGACCTCGAAATATCATCTGGTCCAGACTTTTGTGGGAAAGGGACACTAGATGAGGTTTATCTAGCACCCAGTTCAATTGCATCTTGAAAACCTCCGGTGATGGGGACTCCACGACATCCCTAGGGAGCTTCTTCCGGTGGATGATTGTTCTCACTGTAAACAATTTCTTTCTTATATTGAGATGAAACCTCTCCTGGTCCAACTTGTACCCGTTGCCCCTTGTCTTCTCCATGTGGCTGTGAAGAGAGAGCCTCCGTCCTCTTTGCAGCCACCCTTTAAGTGCTGGAATACTGTGTGAGGCCCCCCTCGAGCCTTCTGTTCTCCAGGGAGAAGAGACTTAACTCCTTCGGTTCTGTAGGGATTCTTCAGATGTGTATCATCCTGAAGGAAAACTTTTCACCTGTTCACCAGTGAGAGTTCTGAGCACATTCTGCTAGGGGTTCTTAGCTGGAGAGATGGCCATGTGTCCCCGGTGCTGTTAAGGTACTAGTTTTAGAAAGGTTCTGTGATTATGTGAAGCAGATCTGTCAGGTGTAATGCAACATGGTTGTTTCAAATAGTAGGATGAAAGGGCCTTGAAACACGCCAGAAACTTAGATTTCCCCTTTGTCATTTGTTTTTCGTTTTGGTTTTTTTTTTGATACTGCTTGCCAGTTCCTGCCACCTCCTCCCTACTTGCTCTGACGTATGGTGTCCTGCTCATGTCACCTCAGGATGAGAAGCCTGTTGGAGTATGGAACTGATCAACAGGGGCAAGGCAGACGTGACTGGAAACTACACTGTTTATTGGGATTAAAAATTAATATTCAGCACAGGGAGTAGTAGGCTAATTTTCCATTCTGTGCATCACATGCATTCCTCGAGCCTCGTGCTGCCACTAACGTGGTAGGCTTGTGCAAAAATGCGATGGCTGTAGCTCACTTTTTAAATGGCACGAGAAGGTTGCAGCACGGATGACTTTGAATTCAGCTATGGAAACCACGGGAGGTAGGCAGCAGGTCGCACAGACGAAATGTGAATGTTTCAGCCCTGCCTCTGGCTTAGGCCTAAGTAAAACCAGGTCACTTGAGGATTAACTTGTGTTGGTAGAAATATTTAGTATGGATGCACTGAAATGGATTTAAACTTTTAGTGATGCCCAAGCTGGCATTAGCATCTGTGCAACTCTGGTCAAATGCAACCTTGAAAGTGATCACAATCATACGATGCTCTAGCTGAGCCTTTTTGGTGGTTTAACCCAGCACCTTATTTCTCAGCTGGGACAGGCGGTGAGCGTGCCATTTACAGCAAAGCAGCTAACGGGGTCATTTCTTAAGCTGTAGGAACTCAGCTGCATGCCTGTTCTCTTAGGCTAAGCTGGTGCAAGTGAAGCAAGTTCCTATCGGTGTCGAAACTGAGGGTTAGTCCCAGAAAGCAGAACAGATTGTAAATTTGTTTTAGGTTAACTGAGATGGTCTGTCTAAAACAGGTTGTGTTTTAGTTTCCTGCATTGCAACTTACCTCCTGAATTTTTGGCATACTGCTGGAAGGCTGTTAGGTTTTTTTTATAGTGGATTCTTCAGGATAAATTTTGCTGTGGAATTAAAATTCTTTGTGAACTTGTTGCTTATAAAAGCTGCTGGTTGACTCATGAAGACAAGATCCCTCTGGTTAACCCACAGAGTTGGTGCTGTCTGATCATAGGGGAGATAGATAACCCCATTGCATGTGTGCTCTAATCTTACCTAGAGGGACTCCATCCCAAAATGACAGGCAAATTTGGTCTGTATTGCTTGTGCTCCTTGGCCGGAGTGCAGGAGTTGCAATTAATAAGCCACGTTACAAGGAATTACCTGTTTAAAAATCAAATTGACAACAGCAGTGGGTTGCAAGGCCTGTTGTTCTTAAATCATGTTTTAGTGTCCTGATATTCATGATGCAGGGAACAGTTTCTCCCTATTCTAATCTTCAGAAAGAGTAAGATGAGGATGATGCTAGAGGAGACCTTGGCTGATGTCACAACAGTAACTGAGATCTAAAATGCAGACAAATTCATGAGCAGAGACAGCAGCGAGGCAGTTTCCTGCTTTGGAGGCGTTTTTCTCATTATCTTTCCTCTTACACTTCACTGTTTTCCTCTGTTTTTCCTTTTATACTTTTATGAATTCCTTGACATAATACCTCATCACAGTTCTAATTTGTTTGATTGCTGTTTGTATAGTGTGGCTGTATCTGCATTGAACATGAAGGTCGCTGCCTTCACCGGGCATGTGTGAGCGACAGTGACAAGGAGCAAGTGGTGGTGCGGTCAAGGAGGTGTATGGCCTGGTCCCGCCGAACATGTACATTCCAGTCCTTCCAGCACTCTTCTGTTGCACCATTTAACCTAATTATTCAGAGCAAGTCTCGCAAAGATTTGCCTGCCTGTGTTATTCTGCCAGCTGGGTTATGGCATAACGTACCTTTAATCACAACACAAGTCATTATTTTGAATTCAACGGTAATTCTAACTCCTACTGTGAGTCCTGCTTTTACTTCCTGTGTTTTCTGATGTTTTGTTAGGTAGCACCTGATGAAAGTCAAGACATCATTGCTTCTGCTCAGTGCATCTTGGACAGAGAAAATTATTTTGTGAGGGTAAGAAGTGGTATCTCTCATTTGCTGTGTGCTTTCCTGCATGTCAATTTTTTCCCCTCCCATCAGTGATTCATGATAACATGTCAGTTTGTATTCTTGAAAAACTAAATTTAGAAGTACAAGCTTCTGGCCTCAGTCTCCTCGGGGTAGGACTGAAGTGGTAACCCTAAATATGAGCTTAGGAATCATCTGTCTTTGGTGACTGCCTGTTTACACCTAACTTTTGGGCTGTGGGTGTGATTAGATGGTGACGGTGGGCCTGTGAATACAGGGCAGGAGGGCTGATCTGATCTAGCAGAATGCCAGCGCTGCAGGGAGAAGGTCCTTCTGGTGCCTGTCTTGCACAGTCTGGTGCTTATCAGACCCCCACTTTGAAGTGATTCCAGCTCACTAACCTGGTGGGAAAAAGTGAATCATTTTCTGCCAGTCTTGCACTACAGCTTAAAAAATTAATGTCTGAATGCCAGAGTCGGTGTGAGGGAGAGCTTGGAAACAAGCGGTGGGAAGTGGAGCGAGGGAGGAGCAGAAGGAAGGGCTGGAAAACAGGGCCCTTGCAGCAGTGACCAGCCAGATCAGGTCAGCCAAGCTGCGTAGCTTCACCCATGGACTCTAACGTGGCTGGCCAATACATTGTATGGTTTTTATTTTCTATTTCTTACTTAGGAGGTGGACAGGTATCTGAGGCACAATCATTTCTTAAATCTGAGAAAGAAGGAGATCCTGTACAAGAAATGGCTTGAGGATGTTTCAGAGCCACTGCTGCAGAAAATTGAGGACAAAATGGACAGCCAGTCAAGCAAAGAAATAAGCAAACGGAGAGAAGAACAACTCTCTCTCTATTTAAACTACTGTAAAAAGAAGGTATCAATGAGAAGTAAATTTCTGTCATGGAGAGGGTTGCATGCAGAGGGATGTGGACACAGTCAGGATTTTAGCTGTTATTTGCTGTTCAGTTGAGTAGCCTGGGGTTCAGATATGCCTTACCTGTAACTTAGTCTTCTCAAGGACTTCCGTAGTGGTGACATAAGTTGTTACAGCTGTTTGTTTAAATTCACCATCAGATACAAACAATAGCATTGCTTGGTGCAGCGAGCACGTGCTGGGGTCTGAATATGGTGAGACACCATATCGTGGTGGGTTTCCCTCTGTGAGCCAGACCCTTTAGGGGGAAAACCTTGAGCTCTGTCAGCTGAAGCCGAAGGCTGAGTCTGTGACCAGGGCGGGGACCGCACTCTTGTGTCTCAGGAGTTCAGCTCGCGCAGTACTGCAGTGTGTTGGCAGAGCACGAGTGAAACGTGTTTGTAGCCTTGGATGCTACTGATCAAGCTTTATAAAAGAAAAAAAGGTGGGAACAGGGAGACACCAACAATTTTCTTAAGACTGCATGCAGGTGAATAGACCCAACTCATGGATTCTGTAGTTTCAGTACTCATAAAAATTGCAGTCGCTGTAGGAAATACTTGTTGGTTTTGTTGATTTTGCTCTGAATTTCACACTGCTGCTGAGTATCAGATCCCATGACTCAACTTTCTGCATCTCAGGAGTGGATATGTAGAGCAGTAAGAGCAGTTACATCATCTGCCACAAATAGGATAGTATTTTATATAGAGCAGGCTTTTGTTGTCAGTGGAAACCACTGCACAGTGGAGTTATGAGACTGTAAACAAGTTTCCCATCCAGAAATGAAAATGTCATGGGAGCTGTGTTGTTTTAATGAGAGCAGATGATCTCTTTTTCAAAGGCCTGATGTGAAAGACCCATACATTCAAACTGCATGTGATGACAAAGAGCTGAACCAGTCCTGCTGTTGAAGTCCTGGGATTTAGGATATGTTGGGTTTTCTGTAGCTGGGTCTGCATCAGTCCATCTTGCAAGCTTCTGTGGCAGGTCAGGACTTTGCTGGGTGTCCTCCAAAAGCAATGGCTGCTGTACTGGGAGGTACAGCTTGTTCTCCCTGAACAAGCGCAGCACCAGTGATAAGCCTCCACCTTTTCTCCTTGCTCTGTGGTGTCAGCTCTATCATCAGTGTGTCTGAAAAGCAGGCTGCAGTCCTTCAGAGTAACAGGGTGATTAATTTGCATAAGTTTGCATTAATCATGGCAGCATATGCTAAGTTTTGCAGAACTTAAGACACTTCTGTGGATTGGTTAATATACTGACTTCTGGCTGTGCATTTCCTCCCCCCTCCTTTTTGTCCATTTTCTTTTGCTTCCTCCCCTGCTATTAGGCTTCTCCTTGTCCTGTTCCCCAGATCTCCTCACCTTCCTGTGTCTCTGTCACCAATCCATTCCCCCTTTCCACATCTATTCTTCTTCCTCCAGTCTCTCCTCTCTCTCTCTCTCTCTCTCTCTCTCTCCCCCTCCCCCAGCCAACCCTTTTACTCCATCCCCAAGTCTCGCTGTTTTGCCCCTCTTTCTTCTGTCAGACTCCCCAGTGCTGTGTCTTCCACTCCTTGTTGCTTCTGATGATTCCTCCAAGTTCTCCACTGTCCTTTGCTTTCCAAAGCAGCCTTCTCCCCTTTTCCTCCATGCTGCTCCTCCTCTCTAACACCCTCTCTTCTCGCTCTCCTTCCAGGTTCCTCCATCTCCGTCTTTCTGTCAGCTCACTCTTCTTCCTTTTTCACACCATCTGAGCCTTCCTCCTTTACCTCCCTTCCTTGACTCTCCGTTGTTCCAGTGACCTGCTCGCTTGTGAGGTTTTTTGCCTTAAATCTGCCTCCTTTTCACCCCCATTCTCACCTCCCCCTTACCCCCAGTCCCGGGGACATGGACTGCAGATGCACGATGAGATGGCTGGCCATAGTGTGAAGATGGCAGCGGTGCTGCTTTTCTTCTAGCACCGGCCAAAGTGCCACCCTGCAGCCTGCAAGGAGGGGGAAGTTTTCCTGGCCTGGGTTGCTGCTGTGTTAGCCACAACTCGGCTTCTGGTAGTCCAGGGTATTGTAGGCATTGTGTGCTGAAATGCTGCAGAGTAAGAGACCCTTCCGACTCATTTTTAAGAGCAGACTGTTGCTCTGCTTTCTGCCAAGGGGTGTGCGAGTGGTCATACATCAACTGCATGAAGGGATCAAGCGTGGGTGTGCTGCACAGCGCCTAGCACAATCGACTGAGGTCTCGGCACATATTGTAATGGGGTGACACGTAATAATAAGCCAAGGGGTGGCACTAAAACTCTGCAAATTGAGGCATGTTAGGGCTTAAAGCTTTCCAGGGACAGAAACAGGAGATGGTGAGTGCAGCTGCGGCTTGGTCTCTGGGGAACTGCAAGATCCTGGGGAGCAGAGGCCCCTGCAGAGGCAGCAGTGTTCATGCTCAGCAGTAGCTCAAGCCCCGTGGAGTTGCCCAGGTGCTTGATGAGTGTCTGGGAACAGCACAGGCCCTTGGGGCCTGGCTCACTCACCCGTGTGAGCACCTTCAACATAGTAACCTCTTAAGCCTACTGCAAATCCCACTTTTTGGGGTTTGGGCTCGTCTTGCAGCACCCCTGAACTGTTCATATGGAAGTATGGTTTTTCCAGCTCTTAACTTGAAATCACATCCACAGATTGCCAAAAAGAACTGTGTAGGGCTGAGATCTAGAGGGCCATGGGCTGAATGCTCCCTTTTCTTCCTGGGACCCCTGGAAAATTGTCTGCACAAGAAAGCTGAAAAACTTCACTTGCAAGGTTTTGGAAGAATGACTGAGAGTAGTAGGGAGAAGTATTTTATATGCTTGTCTTGTTCTTACTATTCGTAGGGCATCACTTGTGGCCTCTGTTGTTTTTTGTTTTGTTTTTTTTTTTTTTACTTATGTTTTGTTTTGTCATCTGTACAGCTCTTATTTGATGCAATTTAGGTAAGTCCTGGCTTATTGGCCGTAAACAGTGCATTATAATTTGGAGACAAATGGTTGTAATTCACCTTTCTCAGCATCAGGCTTGATCAGTGTGTCAGCCTCAGTACCTGTTCAGCTTTTGATAGCCTGTTCGATCTGGTGTTCTTTGGTCTTGGCATCAACAGTGAACGCCAAGTGGTGGTACTTGCTGTTCCCCAGCTAACTCTGGTCATAGGGAACTTGAACTGCAGAATACGAAGTTTGTTGCAGGCAGAGTTCTCGATGAGATGGAGCTGTGGTCTGCACCATTAGGTATGGTTCAGGTCTTTATTCCTATATATAGATAGGAAAGCACGCTCATGGCCTAGACTTGGAGCTCACATCTCGCAGACTAGTAACCTGCCTAGGGCTACGGCTGGTGGGGGCTCAGTCACTTCATTCTTTTTTTTATTTCCTTTCTAATACCTGTTTTCTTCTCTGTCAAAACATTTTCATGTGAACAAAATTTTCTTTTTCTTGACTGCCCTGGTTGTGATTAGCATTTTAGCCTGTAATTGTTTCTGGATGCTTCATGAAATCATTTATTATGTATTTATGCCTATGATAAATTAAAATGGATGGAGGAATTTTCCTGTTATACTTCAGTCACCTTCCTTATGAGGTGCAGCATGTGAAAATTCGGGAGTCCTTTTCTCCCTGACCTCTGGTGCTGTGTCCATACCGTGCCTGGCTGTGTAAGGCTGGCTGCTGTCTCGCTGTTTTATCACCAATAACTTCTGAGACCTGACCTGCTACCTGCTTCTCCCGCAGGGCTATGTGGCTTTGGAAGCTTATGACCGGTCAGAGTACGATCCGTTCTTCCTGAAGACTTGTACAGACTGCTGGAAGGTGTGCTGGTTAGTTATGCCATGGGGTTCAGAGGCACCCTTTGTCCAGCAGGAAGTTAATGGTCAGAGAGGAGGCAGAGCGTGTTACGGATGTGCTGCTATGGGGCTGGTGTAGAGCAGCACATTCTAGTTTTATTAACTGAACAACTATGGGTCCCAGCTCCTACTGCATTTAAGCCCAAGAGTGTTTCAAAATGGTTTTCACCAGGAACATGGTCTGGATCCACACGAGGCCCAGATCTGGAGGCACAGTAGGCAATGGCAGGGGGGAGGCTTGTCTTCCTCATCTCAAATTCATTGTGGCAGTGTGGGAAGCGGCCTGTCTCACGAGGGCTGGTGAGTTCCCAGGCAAGCTGGGTCTGTGCTCGTAGAAGGAAATAGTTCAGATGATCTTTACAGAAGCTCACTCAAATGCACCAAAGACTTGGGTACGTGATAGAAGAGTTAGGTAGGACTCGGGCACAAATCCATGAAGTGCAATTCTCTAAATCCCTTCTGGATGCCGTGAGCCCTCAGCAGCCGTGGGGACTGAGCTGGTACTTCACTGCAGTATGTCAGGCAGGATTCATCAGGATCAACTGCCTCCAGGAGATCAGATCTCATGTCTGTGGTCTAACTTTGTGGCAGAGTTGTTAATGCCTTATGGCCTGCTTTAGGAGCCGAGATGCTCAGCGTTTCTCAGGCCACTCAAGCCTGTGCCTCATGACTTTATTCATAAAAAATGAGGTTGATGCTCCTTACCTGCTAACCAACGGTACATTCACCTCCGACTTTGGTCTTTGAGGCTCTTTGACAAAGTGTTTGTGTTGGTGCGTAAGCACGAAATAACTGTCTCTGTCACAGGTTTCCATACCAACTTTACAGGATCCTCTGTTAAAAGGCATTCAAAGAAAGTTTATGGAGACAGGCATTATCAAGCAGTGTGAGACAGGTATTTTAAACACTTGGTATCCCTTGGAAGTGTTTCATACTGGGAGGGCCGTCCTTGCTTGTGACAGTAGATGCTCACACAAAGCACTTGTTACTTTCCTGCCAGGAAGACCGTGCTCTACCAGAGAGCTGGACGAACTCAGCAAAGCCGAGCTGCCACTGCTTCCTTTGAGCCGGCAGCACATGGATGCAGTTGAGTGGCTGAAGATACCACACGCCTACATCGCTAGTGAGGTCCACCAAATGAAGAGGTAAGAGCTAATGTGTTGTTTACTGAGAAGCAGCACAACAGCTGCCGTGGATGAGGCCACTCCTTCTTGGCTGCATAGCAGAGTGTTTGCTAAAACTTAAATTTCATGGTGAATTCTGCTTTATTGTGTATTTCTCCTGAGAAAGGAGTGTTGGTGAAGGGAAAGCCTTCAGGTATGGAGCGGACAGCAGGATGTATTAAAGTAGAACATCAATGGTCAAGCTGAGCCTTGAAATAAAGTGGCTTTTGGTGGGGAGTTTCCTGCATTTTTTGCACGCAGCCTGACAGCCGGCCCTACAGGTCAAACTATGGAATATCTCCTGGGTGCTTTACTGGAAGATCTGAAAGGATTTAATATTCATACTTGTTTTGGGGTTTTTTTTGCTATTAGTTTCTAGATTTTGGGAGCAGAGTGAGGTCATACTTGTAGCACAGCCTGGTTGAGGTTGGAAGGGACCTCTGGAAGTCATCTTGTCCAACCCCCCTGCTCAAGCAGGGCCACCTAGAGCCAGTTGCCCAGGACCATGTCCAGACAGCTTTTGAATATCTCCACAGACGGAGACTCCGCAACCTCTCTGGGCAGCCTGTGCCAGGCAGTAGAAGAGTGTTTCCTGATGTTCAGAGGGAACCTCCTGTGTTTCAGTGTGTGCTCATTGCTTCTGGTCCTGTCACTGGGCACCACTGAGAAGAGCCTGGCTCCATCTTCTCTGTACCCTCCCTTCAGGTATTTGTACACACTGATGAGATTCCCCCTGAGCTGTCTCTTCTCCAGGCGGAACTGTCCCAGCTCTCTTGGCCTTGTCTCATGTTTGCTCCACCAGTGTCCTTTGACGGTGCGCGTCCTGGGGCAAGCCATGAGGCTGGTCCTGTAAAGGAGTGGCCTGCGCTGAGGGAGCTACACACCACTCCAGAAAGGTGCATCCTATAGCTAAGCTCCATAACAGGGTTTTTTTGCCTGGCGTACAGGCTGGTTGGACTCAAAATACAGTAGAGATCGCTAATGGTGAACCGGACTGGAGCGGTGATGCAGCTGCCTAAGCTGACAACGCTAGAGAGCTCCGATAGAGAAGCATTTGGGATCAGCAAAGAGTGATTTTTTTTTTTTTTTTAAATTACTTTGGTTTTTTTGAAAGTCCCAGTGCTCTGATTCACCCCTTTTGAAAGCTCTCTGGTTCTGCCATTCAGTACACAACACTTAAGGAAACTCCTGCTCCCCAGTGACAAAAACATCAAAGCTGAACTGGGAGCCTGACATCCCGAACCAGGCTCACTCTCTCCCCCCGCAGCCCCTGCCCTGGAATTTTATTCCTTTTACTGGCCGAAGGCTTTACTCCAGCACGTCTACAGCAGTTATGGGATAATGGCACAGTCTAGAAGGAAAACTGGTCACAAAGACGAACGTTTCCTGGCGTGACTCAGTGTGGGAAAGGGCTAGTGCAGGAAGCTGTGCTGGGCTATAGCAGCCTTCGTCTCGCATGGACTGGCAATAGTTTTTACTTCTGTTTAAAGGCAGAAAGTCATCAGCCACCACAAAGACGGCGAGAGCCAATGACGTCACCTGTCCTCCAGCTGACTGCAGCGGCAAGCACCATCATCAGAAGGTACCATTAGCAAAATATGTTATGTCTTCTGCCAAAGCAAGCGATAACGGGTCAGGTCTTCTGGCAAACTGCAATAAACTCATTGTCTTCAACCCGTGGTTCTGCAGTAGTTGCTCAGCAGCCAAAGAAATGTTTGAGCTGCTGCTCCTGTTATTTCCAGCTCCAGTCCATGCTCTATAGGCCAAAACCTACTATTTTAGGAGATTTAACTTAGGCTCGGCCCTACAAAGACAGTGCTGATGTTCTCTGGTTTATAGGGTGATGGAGTCTTTGTATTAAAGGAGATGAACTGGTGAGAAAAGTTAAAGTCTGCTAGGCCCCTCTTCTACGCGGTGCAGGATCTGTACCTTGTCCCCAGCTCCGGCAACAGCTACAGCTCCAAGTCCGCTGTATTTCATATTACAAGAAGGGTGAATGTGAGCAGTGGGCAGAGGGAATGGCAAAGCTTGCAAAATTCTAGCTACAGCTGTTGTGGTTTTGCATGAAGCTGAAAGAGGTCATCTTGAGATTTACGAACAAACTCTCTCTTTGAACGAGGAGGAGGAGAAGGAGCTGCTCCTGGCTATGTGCGTGGTTAGCAGATGCGTACAGAAGAGCGGCTTAGAAAGCACTGATAAGGAAATAATCATTTGGTTTTGTTTGTTCAAATCTTTATCAGAACTCCCATAGTGAATGTCTTGCAAAATATAATTTGCAAAATTATGTTAGGGTACTACCAAGGTTTCAAAGGACTTTCTCCTGAGCGTGCAAGCAGTAAATCCACCTTTAACACACACGTTGATTGCTCTGAGAAGGCAGGAAATAATTAGGGGAGGGGAGATGGTAAGTGTTCTTGTACAAAACGTCTAGCGCTTCTTGGGAAGTCAGTGCTGAGCAACAAACGCTGTCAGTGCCCTACAAATCGGTTTCTCTCTTGTTCCGGCATGGTCCCTCTCTCCCTGCGAGTGTGACTGCACAGCAGCTCTGGCGTCAAAGCCCGAAAACAGAATTTTCTCTGTGCTTGTTCAAGCTCCAACCTCCCACTGTACAGACACAGTCTCTCAAAGAGTTGCCAAGGTTTAGTTTTATTTAGAATTAGAAATACTGAACCACAGAAAACTGTTAAAAGTAACAGAGGTTGACTCAGCCCTGTAACAGGAGGGTACACAGGTGGCCATCGGGTGGGAAACTGTCAGGCGTCAGGAGGTATCGCTGCACCCGTGGAACACGAGGGCGCGCGCTGCTCAGAATTGCATGCTGTGCTTTTTCAACAAAGCAGTTTAAGGAGGCAGTAAAATAGTTACAATGTATCAAACCCTTTATACACAAACTTTTTTTTTTTTTTAACCATCCCTGATTTTGGTGCCAAGAGAAAGTTTTTGCTTTCAACCAATCTCATTTTACAGATTCATGTTGGGGTGACAGCTCCCCTCAAGCTAACCTTTTAAACTTGTAATAAGCTTTTCTTGAATATTAATCCTATAAGTTTTTCTCATTATTTCACATTCCCTTGTACAATAAAATATACTTTTTAAAAATCACTATGCAATAAACATCTGTAGACAAATTACATTAATAAACTTATATTTTACTCTCTATATACATGTTGGCAATGTCATAGCTTCAAGGTTCACATGGAGGTCTGCAAGACCAAGGAAATGTACACAAATAACTTACATTTAAGAAAAAAACAAAAGCTGAAGAGTGTTTTTCCACATTATTGTGGGTCACAGTATGTAAAATTTTTTTTTCTAGTTATTCTTCACAACCACATTGTCTCAGCAGAGAATGATGAATCAAACTGAAGCAGAAAGAAAAATCAAGTAGCAGTTACTGATTTCAGTGCAGAACTAAGTGAAGTAAAGAACTACACTTGATTCTTAAAGAATATACAATATATCGGAGACTTCTCCAGTGCTAAGGCTTCTTCAGCGTTTAATCTTTAAAACTATCATCCTGAGACGGGAAGATTCCAGTGGATATCACTTTTCAGGTTTCAAATGGAATGATTCTAGTGCTGAGCTAAACCATTCCTCAGTCTATACGTTAGACTAAGTGGTAAAATACACATATACATCTCGATGCCATATTTCTGCTTAATACTTCTTATGGCCCTGAAAATGGAAACCTTGGCATCCAAACCCAAGATATTCCAACATAATAAAAAGGCACTGCGCTATAGTACTGTATATACAGTAACATTTGTGTTTGCATAGATCAACAACAACTTTGAACGCTGCAAGGAACTAAATGCAACCGGTAACTAAGAGGAAATATGGAAGCAGCAGGAGCTCTTGCTTAATAACCAGCGTGGGACAAGGAATCTTTTACAAAAAAATGTTCAGGCTGTCAGCTTCAGTTGTCCTTCATAAATTAAAAAAGTGTTCTTAGGGGAGTGTTTTCTGATCAAAGAGCTGCAGGTCAAAACGGACCCAGACTTCGCCTGTTGGAACTTCATGCAGCAGTAGGTGTTTAGTCGTGGGGCCTTTGCTTTCTTGTTCCGTTCTGATTTTTGCTACTGGAATTTCAGTGCGACCCAAAAAATCTGTTGGGCAAATGAATAAGAAATAAGACGTTAAGCTTAGAAAATCTGAAAGCGTCAGGTTAAGCAGCAGTGCTGCACAATATGTATTCCGTTCCAGAGCACTGCTCCCAAGCTTCCTGTTGGACTAGCCCTCAGCCCTGTGTAAATCAGCCAGCAGGGACAAAAAAGGGTCTTTTTAGAAGACAAAAATGCTATGGAATTAGGGTGGAAAACATGCCTTTATGTCACGGTTTGACCTAAGAGCTTTAAAAATACAGTTCCCTTTCAGAAACACAATTTCAAATGTTTTGTCTTAGAGCTGGAAAGTCAGAGTGAAGTGATGGAGCCTGTTTACAAGTCAGCTGTGGTGCTATGAAGACAATAAAAAAAAATTCAACTAACTTGGCTCAGCCAACTTTTAATTAGGCTTACGTATCATTCTTCTAACAAGAACAATGACCTTGAACAACTACTGCCACTCGTAGGTTTACAGTCCTATTCAGAAACTATATACCCTCTCTGTGGCCATTTCATACATAAACGTGTGTGTGTGTGTGTGTGTGTGTGTGTGCGCGCGCGCGCGCGCGCGCGCGCGCGCGCATTAAAAAGTTTACCATGAAGTGAGAAAACAAGAGGCTCAGCTGTCCAGCGGGGAGAAGCAGCCTCGCAAAGTCACGTTACCTCACAGGAGAAAAGACTGAGCTATAGTTACACATCGGGCAACTCGGGTCAAGGCAGTACCTTGCAAATGTGAAATAATCAACTGTGTGTCAGAGCCCGGAAAAAGCACTTAACCTTTTAAAGAGTACTAGAAGCTACCGACTGCCAAAAATGTGTTCTGTTTCCAAGCAGAAAAAGAAAGCTTATCGAGCTGTTGCTGTGCAAATATAACCTAGCACCTTATTTTTGGGCATCACCTATAGCGAGAGAGAAAAACTTGTGCTTTCAACGTCTCTATCTCCCCAGTCTGACAAAACAATAATGCTGTGTCTGATACAGAAGGATCAGAGTAGGATCAGAGTAGGATCAAATCTGGCTGCCCAGAGCTGCCGGCTCTGGAGGGCTATTGAACCTCTTGAGTAAGGAGGCGTTGTTTTTACACAACGTTTCTCAGGAAGCAATCATACCTACAGGCTCTTGGAACTGCTGGTGAGGAACTGTGTACCCCAAGTCACAAAAAAGTGCTCTTTTCCTAAAACAAATGTTCACACTGACCGTCGGGTGAGAACTGATCTCTGTCAAACATGGTGATACACAGGACATCCTGATACAGATCCTTAATGAAGAACTGGCAGTTGAAGTTCCACTTGGGGTTCAAGGTGTCCTGCAGGGTCCTCGTAGTGTAGCTCTGAGAGCCCATGCTGATTTCACAATACGGGTTGCTCTTCCCTAAACACAGAACAAGCAGTGAAACACCTCTGCAGCGCAGAAACCTCCCTCCCCGTCTGGAGGCTGCTTGGACACACATGGATGCTGCTGTCCAGAAGACGTGGCTCGGGCAATCCCTACATCCTAGAGCAGCACAGAGCTGGTTCTTCACTCGGTCCTCTGAAACTAAGTGATGGCTAATTCGTCCAGAAGCTGTAGCTGAATCCACAATGTTTCTCAAATCACCAAACTCCTCTCAGCAAGCCTTTCCAAACGCTGCAGGAATAAAAGGGATTTGACGCTATTTTCTTCACTTACCATTGGGCTTACAGGCCTTTAGCTCTGTCGCTTCAATCACGTGCACCATCAAGCGTCCTATTCCTGAGGTCTTCTGTGAGCGAGCTGGGAACAGAGAAGTCAGAAATAAATGGATTGGTTGTAACCGTAAAAACTGGCAATAGATCTGAAGAGGGAGATCCTACACAGACACTGGGGCATCCTCCAGAAAAGGCCCTGCCCACACGTCTGGGTGGATGAGAGGGAAATACGGAAGCCGGGAGGTACCTTGATAAGCCTTTTCACGTTTCTTCTTCTCAGTTTCGATGTACTGCTCTGACGCTGCTTTGATTTTCTGGACCCAGGCAGTGCTGCAAAGAGCAATCCCTATGGTCAGGGCCATACCACAGGCATGAAGCTCCTCAGTATCAGCGGCTCTGCACCCATCTCTTTTGCCGTTCCCCCCCCGCCCCTCACTGGGTTTCAGAGGCATCACGAATCAAGTTAGTTCAAGGACTAAAGCGATGGAGTTTTTGGATTTAATCTTATGCCACATTTCCACATCAGACTAAATAAAAGAAAGTGGAGCTGCTGTTTTTTTAAAGACTGCTGGGTCACATCAAAGACTGACGAGGACTGGAGAAGAATCCTATGGGATGCTGGACTTTGCAGCCCTAAACTATTCTATACGACTGTAACATCGCGAGGCACTAGATGAGACTCTGGATTCCACTGCGAGAGCTGCTGCACAAGCAGAACAACATGAGAGAAAAGTTGTAATTCAAATGAGAGACAGACAAGTTT